TAACATTTTCGTTATAATGTTGTTATTTACAATATTGTAAAAATATTCAGGAGGAGGGAAAATGAGTGTGCCCTTTTCTCGAAAAAGAATTTTTGTTTTAGTACAAGTGATAGTCTAAACTACAGGGGAGGAGATTCTCCTACACACAAAATTATAATACAATGAGAGTTCAAATTTGAAATCTCTGGTCTGCAAGTCAAGGCGAAAAATCATTTTGATTTATCTATCTCATGTGTTTTTCTTAGTTTTCCCTTGAAGTTAGATATAATCGAATTGTGACTATTCTGTATAAAAGGATTCTCGAGCGGAAAAAAAAAAGAAAAAAGAATATATGTGTATATATAAAAGAAAGTATTAGAATATGCTTCCCCATTATTGATATTGTTGAAGTTTGCCGAAAAGGTTGGCAAAAAGTAAATACTTTTATTTTATAATGATATATCATTCATGCCTATCAACTATGATGTTCAATCATATTCAGGCAATTAAGATCCGTCCACATTTGCAATAAGATGATTTGAATTCTACCAACTTAATAATTTGAAGAAAATAATTGATAAATTAAAGTATTTACTTTTAACTACATTTTTTTTATTTAATTATAACTAAAAAGTTCACGGGTTAAAAAGTCCACATTTGCAATGAGATCTGATTTTCACCTGTGAAACACATTGAGATCTAACTTACCACTCAACCACATATAACATATGATTATAAAAATATTTATAATTGAAAAAAAATATTATCGAATCACGTTAAAAATAAAAAAGGAGGTCGATTGCATGGTTGGCATAATCACTTGAATTTGGGAAAGAAAGAAAAAAGAAGGTAGGTTTGAAGTTTGAACTTCATGTTCGAGCTCTATGGTTGGTTTCTTCACAACAAAACGATCCCTAAGTCAACCATTCATCGATCCATCTTAATAAGTTCAAGAAATTTCAGTCCATAAATAAATAAAAAAGATTTTGCTAAGCAATAATAATCTCCATAGCTATTGGAAGAAGAAGTAGGTTTAGATAGAAGCTGGCCAAAGCCAATGAGTAATGCCAAAAAGGCGCGCAAAACAAAGAAAGAGAGAGAGAGAGAGAGAGAGGCCAGCCAGCCACGCTTGGAATTACACAAAGAATGCGCGGCCAGCCACAACAAAACCCATCTATCTATGGCATCAAATTAAGCATGCAATCTAAACTCACCACACAAATATATTATATATCATGCAAAAACAATTCATGGGTTTTGTTTAAAATGAACCCAAAATCCCAAAAACCAGAACAAAAAGAAACAGAAAACTGAGGCAAATGGAGAGAGTTGAAAAGTAAGACCAACCTGGGCATGTTTGGCCCTAACATACGGGCTATCACCAGAAGGAACCTTGTGAATAACATGGTAGAGATCATCTTTCTTCCCCTTTGGGCTGCTCATCTTGGAACTGCCTTCCATTATTCTCTTAATTTCTCTCTCCCTGCCTATCAAATTAATCTCTGTATTTGGCTCTAATAAATTATATATTAAAATAAAATAAAGCAAATAATATAGGAGCTGCTGGGTCTACACTCCCTGCAAAAGGAGAAAGACAGAAAGAGGTCCAATTTATAGAAGCAAAATCAAATTTATAATTTGGGTTTTAGAAGATGAGCATGAACTTTGTGCCAAATTACGGCTTCATTCATCTTTGTAAGCTTGTGCTCACTCAGCTGCCAATCAGCTGCCCCGCAACGTGTCGGCCGGGACACGTGTCGCTCTGTCGTTCAACCTTTCTGGGATTCCCTTGCCCTTCTAGTATTATTGGGATATCCTCTCATGACCTTTTCGTTTCTCCTAACATGGACCCTACGATGTGATGAAAATAATGGGGCCATAGCCATAGGGTTCTTGCCATTTAGTCAGATTTTATTTTCACTCACGCAACCACTTGACAATAATAGATGTGCATATTCAATTTGTATCTTGTTGGTTTTGGATAATCGTTCATGTAACTTTTTAAAAGAAGATCATTAGTAAAATTGAGCCCAACCTATGAGCTATAGATGGGTTTCGTTTACCTAAAATAAACATAAATTCTTGTCTGTCCTATCTCCATTTTTAACTGAATCCGGATAAGATTATGGTAGAAACTTGCTAATAAAAAATATCATTCGCGCGTGACTTTGCATACAATGTGACGGAAACTACAATAAGAAATAACTTAGGTAAAGTATATAAAAGGAGAATAACAAGAGTACCAGGTCAATTGGGATTTATATATTGACCGTGTCATTTTTAATTCAATTTCGAATCTATTTACACAAATGATTTCAAGTTTTAGACATATACTTATCATTTTAATTACTATGCATATCGACAAAGTGAACCATTCATTCTAAAGGGTGCTCTTGATTCTTGTGGCCAAGTTTTATTTTATGGTAACCTTAGATGTCACATGCCACCACTTTAGATGGTCACTTTCTATCGAGAAATGTCATCTCTTTTTTGGACCAAATTCATGTGAGAGAGAGAGAGAGAGAGAGAGAGAGAGTAGAGGAGTTTTTGGGAGTGATGAACTAAGATATTTTACCTAATCCATTATTAGTGTATATGTACAATTAACTAAGCCAAATACATTTCATTCTACGTCTAGAAGATGTCACATGCCACCACTTTAGATGGTCACTTTCTATCGAGAAATGTCATCTCTTTTTTGGACCAAATTCATGTGAGAGAGAGAGAGAGAGAGAGAGAGAGAGTAGAGGAGTTTTTGGGAGTGATGAACTAAGATATTTTACCTAATCCATTATTAGTGTATGTGTACAATTAACTAAGCCAAATACATTTCATTCTACGTCTAGATTAAGAAATAAATAGGTGTTTTAGAAAGAAAAAGAAAAAAGAAAAAAGAAAAAAAGAAGATGATTTAGAAGACGTCGGTTTGTAGTTCGTACGGGTGAACCTGACCCTTAAAGCAGTTCGATACAGTTGAGGCATGTATGAACCAGCTTGGATTATTGGGAGCTTGAGATTTCTTACTAGGAGGCAACTAAGAAGCAGCCCGAGGATGTGATCTATATCTTCTGAGCACTAAATTTTGTTGCTACTTTTAATAATTTAAAAAAGATATCCAGAGAAGCACTTTGAAAGTAAGCATGTAATGGCGTCATGAAAGTGGAAGGGAGAGCGAGTTCTGTGGCAAAAGATGAACCTGGACATCCTTCATGGCCTTGTGAGGAAAAGTGCTTCCAAATAAGTTGATGTATATATAGAGACAAATTTTCAATGTTTTGTTTATAGTTCAACCCTGATACATCTACATCAGCACCCCCTTATGGCATTTGATTGCTATGCTTGATTATGTTTTGGAAACTTCCCCTGGGAATAGAAATTAATAGAATTGAACATTTCTTTGCGTCGTGAGTTCCTTCTCATTCAATGCGCGTACCGAGTAAAAGAAACGAAAGATAATATGATTACGTTATTGATCTTAATGTAACATAGTTTCCTTCAATCTTAAATGAATTACTTTTTTTCAATGGCATAACCTTAATCTTCAAGTGTTTATTCTTTTTAATACTTAATTCAGAGCAATGCCATTGAAAAAAGAATATAGAAATTAGGTAAACTAAGGACTAATTATATTGTTGTGTAAGAGCTCAGAAAAGATATTAAAATATGGACACAAAGTATGCACGGCCCTACCTATCTCGAATTTTTCTGCCAATCTTAATGATTATAAATAAAATTGAAATTCGGTGTATATTATGTTACGTAAGTCATACTAGCTAGTACTACGATGTCTTTTCCTATATGTGTCTACAAACACATGATTGTTATAATGGGTTTGTCTCCACTTAACTCAAACCCAATAGGTGGTTTGGTTCATTAAGGGGCAAAACAAAATGGTTAATATTCTTGCTTCTTGTTTAAAGTCTTTGTCTCAGATATCTCATACTTCAAATTACCTCAATTTATGGCTCTATTCTCGTTTATCATGTCATTAGTCTAATCCCATGCCTAAAAATTAACTGTACCTTAAAACTTGTGAGTTAGTTAAAGTGATCATGATGAGTAGAAAAGTGGGTTAGAATTAGTCTTAAAACTTGCGGGTTAGTTTAAGTGATCATGACGAGTAGAAAAGTGGATTAGAATTGGGTTTAAGTGAGTGTTCGATCTGTTTTCAGAATAACCGTCTTTTCTTTAAATTTCTCAATTAACGTTCTTTTAATTCTTCTTTATCCGTTTTTAACATTTTTTTTTATTTAAAAATAAGATAGAAGGATATATGTTTTAAATCTTAAAGGTGAGAAACAACTTTTAAGATGGTTGCAATTTTACAATTGAGTTGCGTTTGAAGAATAAATTCCCACCTGCCATGTGACAAATCAGCACCCAGTCTGCACATGGATGGAGGAAGGAGGAGAATGAAAAGTTTCATCTCGTTCATGGATGGAGCATCATAGTCGACCACCAGCGAGCTTAGCTTTATCCCATAGTTTATCCGTGATAGGGTTCTTTTTACCTATTTGGGAAGCCCCGTTTAAACTTATTTGCAAAGGCAAACAACCACCAATTTACCGAAAGACAGATTTGCTGGCTTCTTAAAACATTGGAAGACCCAAAGTGGATGTTATCAACGTCCATTTTCGCAGGCAAGTTTGGAAAGCGTCTCAACGATTAGGAGTTAGGGACAAACCTTAAACCAGCAAGAAACTAAGTCACCAAAGTTGCTGAGTTTTCTACAAATAGAACTAATTTTCGAATACCACCAGAAACCAATGTGCCATATTTTTACATAATTTTCAAATCCCGATTGACAAACAGGAAGAGACAGCAAATGACGGAAAGAAAAACGAAATTTTGTATGAAATGTTCCAGGATTTGTCTATGTCCTGCCTCCTCCATCCAATCATATCCCTGGTCATGGCCATGTCACTTATTCCGAAGTTAATACCTGGTCACACCACATTCCCCCCCGTATTTTTTGTTCCTAATTGCATTATACATTTGAAGAAAATGGGAGGAGAGTAATGGTTTTTAAAGAAATAAAGATATATTGCAAGGAAGCTCTAGATACAATATTGGCAGAAACAAATGGTGAAAAGAATTACAGCAAATACTAAACCGAGCATTTTCTTCACTTGGCTAAATGCAAAACCCAAAAACAAGCCTGCCCATATCCACAAAATATAATGCACGAGGCAAACATCAAAATAGAAACACTGTTTAACAACGCCAAATATTGTAAGGCCACCGCATTTCACGCTATTGAAACAGTATTCTGATAAACCGCACCCTCACGGGCCAAAGGCATGCATGTAGCTGAAGCAAAAAATATCACCAACTTTAGATTTATGCTTGGTTTGCACCACCCCTCGTGCGCCCGCCCATCCGTCCTCGCCCACGGCCATACCCTCTTCCCCCTCCACCTCTGCCTCTTTCATAACCACCAGTACCTCTTTCATATCCTCCAGCACCTCCTCTTTCATATCCACCAGCACCTCCTCTTTCATATCCACCAGCACCTCTTTCATACCCACCAGAACCTCCTCTTTCATACCCACCAGAACCTCCTCCTCTTTCATATCCACCAGCACCGTTTCCTCTTTCATACCCACCAGCACCGTTTCCTCTTTCATACACACCAGCACCTCCTCCTCTTTCATACCCACCAGCACCTCCTCTTTCATTCCCACCAGCACCTCCTCTTTCATAACCACCAGCACCACCCCTTTCATAGCCACCGGCACCCCTTTCATAGCCACCAGACCCTATATGAATATCAAAGGCTTGAAACAATTAGTCCATAGCAGCATATGCAACAAACACACACATGCACCACAACAAATTCATATCCAAAGTACGCATCTTCAAGGGTAAAGTGTGTATGTCACCAGATCAACCATTATATGGATACTATTCAACAATTGAATGCACACACAAAGACACCAAGCTTAAGAAAAAAGGGGTAAACAAAAACAAAATGATGCACAAGGTATTTTCCTTGTATAGGCAATTAAAGAAGCAAACTTACCACGATTACCCCAACCTCTGCCACGTCCTCCACCTCTTCCCCGGTTTGAATATCCACCATTATCTATCAGAAAAGTGGTGCAAGTCAAGAGCAGCTTTATCTTAATGTAAACTATATGTATAAGCACTTCATAAAACCATGATAAAGAACTAATGCCGTAAAATAATTATGTGATTCCATTTATTGTACCTTGATAGTTTCCATAACCACCTTGATGGTTTCCATATCCACCTTGATAGTTACCATATCCACCTTGATAGTTGCCGTATCCTCCACCCCTGCCCCAATTCCGCCCTCTCCCTCTACCACGTCCACGACCTCGGCCATATGAATCTAAGAACCAAATCAATGAAACATGTTAAAAGTTGAAAAGATGAACCATGCTTAAAAATTAGCTTTTTGATAAGTTGTCATTAGCATCACCTTCATTGACAGCATTGTATGAAGCCCGTGCTTGTTTTGGTTGCTGCTGCTGTTGGTAATTGGGCTGTGACTTTGATTGTTCAGCAACATATGGAGCTTGATACCTATGGAAAGGGAACATGCCAAAAAGATTAAAGTTAGAGGAACCAGAAAAAGAAGGAGAAATACTTTCCATAAGCTCAATATTATGCATATTTAGCAGAAGAATTTTATACTTATCCATAAGAACAAATCTAGGTAGAGTTCTTAAAATATTTCAGAACTTACCCAGGAGAGCTTGTGTTTAGCTCCTTGGTTGATAATGTGATTGAAATCATTGAGACATGACGAGTCGTCTCCACACTGCAACATATATTAATACATGCACGTTGAATCAGCAGAAAAGAAAAATACAATACCCATAAAATATATCTATAAATACAAAACTGGACAGTGAAATTTTACGATCAGAAACTTACGATTCAAGACCCTCTTCAATAGGTTCCCATACATCAGTTATGCTTACAGAGCTGATGGCAGTATCTTGATGCAACGAGGGAATCCTTTTCTGTTTAAAGACAGAAATGACTGGTTAGTTGTGCACTGGAGAGAGGGGGAAGAGAGGGGGGGTGGATGGGATATGGAAGGAGATATGTTTCAGGATAACAACCTTTATAATTTCAGCAATGGCCACTGTCTTGCTGATTGCCTGTCCCATTGCTTTCAAGACAATCTCAATTACTTGCTTATCCTAAGGAAAAATGTCATAAACCATAATAAATCAGCTCATAAATTCAGATGGAAGGATGAAGGAACCACCAATACCGCACATGCAAACCATTCAGACAAAATTTCATAAATAAGACACTTGTTCTATAACACTAGGATTTTGGGGTGAAATCTGTGAGGAAAAAAAATTGGAGTAAGAGAGAAAGTTACCCTTAGAATTCCTAGAACATAACAAAAACAAAATAACAACAAACATACAAAGAGACCATAATAAGGAAAACTCAAGCTTAATATATTTCAAGCACAAAGTGGTATGATTTCTTGCCCATCCTCTAAATGAAAAACAATAATAATGATATGAGTAGATTATGGAACATTCTTTATAATTTAACCATTGTTCATATCATGCCAACCTGTTCCAACGAAACAATACCAAACAAGTAATGCCCAAGAATCAGAGATATATACAGAATCCATAGAAAGACTGACACCTGGATCAAATACAGGGGTTAACCAAATATGGACTTTCGTCATAGTAAAGCCTTATTGTGACCGAAAACATTTGACCGGCTTCTTAATGGATGCTGACAAGTACAATAAAAGAAGCAGAATGCTTCCCAACTAGAGAAAAGAAAAGTAATATTCTCACCAAGAGGGCCTTGTGGCATGAGATGTGTTGAAGAGAAAAGGTTAGTATTAACAATAGAGCCCCTACTAACCTTAAGACTAAGTATCCTAAAACATGATGAAGCACAGATATCTTCTGCAACCACAAGTTTAGAACATTGTTATTGCTTCTCAAAGCCCCATTGAACTCACGGGTATAAATTGGTCTATATCTCAAATGACATAACATATCATGCAAACAAGTACACGAGACAACTGCTACAGATTCCCAAAGCTTCGTATACCACTGATTGTTTGGTAAATTGAATTCTTGACACAAACATGGAAACTAAGACCTCCTCATTGAAGTTTACAGTCCAATTTTGATGTAAATACTTGATCATTGGAATTCCTTAAGCACTAACACTGTCCAATTTTACAGTCAAACCCTAACTTCTAGCATCTTTGTGAACCACACGAAGGCACAATTATGAAAGACCTTCGTCGTAAATACAACGAAAACTTAGCCAAGGCCATCAAAGGAAAAACCAACTACAGCTACATTATCCATGTGAATTCCATAACAACAACCAGGAAACCCAAAAAGCAGTTTACAGACACTCATATTATCACCTGAACATGATATGCAATATGAACAACCAGGACCGGTGAAAACAACACACAAAAGAAAATCGGTGAAAATCCCATCAATATCAGAAGCAAAAACGACCCAATAAACCAAACAGAGAAAAGCCATTACCAAAAAAACACATGCAAAAGCGAAACCACCTAGAAACGAAACAAACAATAACAAAAACAAATAATGAATCAAAGCATCAAAATAAAAAACTGGGAATGGAAGATCAAAGAGAGAAGGAGAAAAACCTGAAGCAGAGTGGTAGCGTAGCTGATGTAGTTTCTGATAGCACCTTGGGTAGTGATACGGATCTCGTTGACGTTGATGGGCACCGCGGGCTTCGCCTTCTCGACCCTCTGGAACTTGTCCATGGCTTTTGGGTTTTGGATTTGGGAGAGCGAAGGTGTTGTTGGTATGGAGATGAGAAAACCCTAAAACCCTAGAGGAAGGAGCGCGAGTGAGAGAAGAAGTGAGGAGAGGAGAGAGTGAGAAAATGAAGCGGTTAAAAAAGACGCGAAATTCGCCCAAAACCTAAAACCTCACACACCCAATCAAAACCCGTGCCCTTTTGTGCTCCAACCAACCCAATTGGATTTTCGCTGTTTTTATTATTCGTGACAGAATAAAAATTGACAGAAGTTACAGACCAACGGCCAGGATTGAGTAGCGTACGCGTTCCTGCTCACCATATGGCTCCACGTGTCCTCCAGTTGGGTAGAGGTGTATTTCTTTGGGTTTTTATTTTTATTTTGCTGGTGGCCGAAATGGAAAAAATTAAAAGAATTAGGAAAAAAAACCCTAATAAGGAAATTATGTATGGTATTCGTTACTGGTTACATGAATATTGGACTTTGACTAGTTCATCTATTTGAAATTTTTTTTTTTAAAGAAAATTACTTATGTCATTCTCATCGTTCAGGGCATAGGCTACGTTATTACGAATTTGCCTTTAATGGGTAACTGCTCATAAATACACTTAACATTATTGTCGAAGGAAATTTCAAAACATTGCAGACATTCAATACTTTGGCGACATGACTCATTATCAGATGTTGCATCTATATAAAACATCTCTTATTATATCGGCATGTATTTTCTTTAATCCAACAACTGGTGATGAGTGCACCTAGATGGCATGTACACTCGAATTGGCAAGTATTGTGGTAGATGTGACAATATGGTATAGCTATTTGATATCACGTAGTAAACTCTAGATAGAATATATCCCTATTTTTAAATATAAGCGATAATCTAACCATGAGTTCAAACTTGAGACAATTCGTTTGCAAGTTAAAACTCTTTCTCACTGGTCTAAACATATCCCTTATTATATTGGAATTTGTTTTGTTTGATAAAATCATGGTGTAATCAATTTTTTATTTTATGGGTCATGATGATTTGGTCAAGTGTGAAAGTATAAACGTTTTCACAAAAATTTTGTTCTTTATTGACTTTTGAGAAAGTGATCAATGACTTTAGTTTGCTTAGGGAGTAAGATTATAAAATACGAAAGATTCTCCAATAAGGGTGTGCCTACTATTAATCTCATGGGCTGGCAATAACATGGCGAGCGCAAAGAACGTACTCCGTTACCGTTGAATATTTTTGTTGGGTATAAAAATAATGCAGGCCCAAAATGCCCCAAACAAAACATCACTCATCTCAACAGGCCTGCAATCTTCTATCAAGAAAGGCAAAACAAGCCTGGGTTCACAGAGATATTACTGCCTACAGTGTTGAATATGAACAAAAATTAGTTCTCCGGATAGCATAAATTACCAACTTAAAAGTACAAACTGTTTATTTGAAGCCAAAAATTATCAACTTGCAAAATGTTTACCAAACATCAGATCATTGACATCAAATGATAACACAAACAATAAGAGTACTTATTATACAGATGCTACGAAATTAAGCAGAATAATACAAGGAGTGAGGATGTCTTTAACCGGGACGGACGAGAAGGTAGATAAACATCGACGTTAGTCCTGCCATGATTTAATTTGCTCGTCTGTTGTATACAAGCTTCTTAAACATCGTCTACATAAAGGACAACAAGATGCTAGGTGATATAAAAGGACCACCCTCCAGCATTATCTACAAATTTGAAAAATGATATTTTTTCTTGGCCAAGTAACCCTGCCATCTGCATTGGTGTCAAGCAAGTTGCAGTAAATGAAATGTTAGTACGCATCATTAGCATCCAGTTCTTATATTCAGGGAAGGGACCATGCATTTCTGTTGTTTGTTGTCAATGCACATGCCCTTCCAAATCGGGGAGCACACATGCCATCCATAGAGTAGATATGCAATATATGATTGAAGGCCTCAAATCTCCACAAGGTAATTGGTTTATATGAAATGATCAACCACCGAAATTTACGTACCTTAAGGAGCACAGAAGTGAGGCAAACTAAGAGGTAAAAAGGCAGAAAATGGACTAACTAGTCTTGCCACCTTAATAATACAAGCAGTGACACAAACACACAATAGCACATATGGTAGATAGATAACATGAGAATCTCAGATCATTAAATTTCTCAACTGGACAATCTCAGCTCAATATGTAATGTTCTAAAAATCCATGTAAAAGGGGCTGTGTTTTCTATATGATGAATGTTCATAATTCATGGCCATAAAAATTGCAACCCAATACGCACATTGAGCAGCAGTTTATCCCATGCTTTCCACTCAAAACTACCATTAATATTAATTTATCTGGCCTAAACTAAGTCACATAGAGTTAGGGCCACATGAGGCCCCAAACTTATTGGCTCTTCAGTACGTACATTGCCACAACATTTGTGATTGAGATTTGGGTGTGTTTAGGATTTAGATTCATGAATGAGGGAACACTTTCATAATCTATTGATTACTTGCGAAAATTTTCCGTGAAAGATTTAGCCACTTAGATTTCCTTCTTCTAATAAATCCATCATAAATCTTCAAGGAAACCTAACCTTCACATATGATGCCTACTGATCTACTCTAAATTTGGCACAGAAGCTCTTGTCAATTCAATAAAGAACCATTATAGCTAAGTAAATCCTACAGAACAAATTCAAACCCACCAAGAACAGCCTTACAAACTGCAATTCCAAACTCGAAAAATCTCACACTAATGCCAAGCAGACAGAGTAACACAAACCAAAAAGCTATAAATGAACAAGAAAACAGAACATGAATGAATTCATACCAAGAAATTGAGGAAGCAAATATCAGTCAAACATGGGCTGCACAGGGGCAACATCATCTCCTCCTCCTTCACTCTGAAGAATACTATGAAGCGAAACCGTGGACGAAAAGCTAACAACTTTATGGAACTTATTAACAGGGGAAGGCAATTGGGGCACTTTCCTCCATCTACACTTCCCATCCTCACTGCTAATCTCACAGATACAAGCTGGGTACTTCTTGTGATACTCCTCATTGAACACGTATATCAGATTGCCCAGCCCCACGCATTTCAAGCTTGCAAACTTGTCTTCTTCATCCCCATCGAACAACCCATACAACAAGTCATGAGGCATGATCGCAATCTCGCTGAACTCCATGGTGGCCTCCTCGATCTTCCACAAATTGAAGGAGGACCCAAGAGGGCCGTTGCAGATTCCAGCTAGAACGAGCCGGTCCATGCAGGAAATCAAGAAGGAGAAGACGACCCCGGGTGGGCGGAGAGTCTGGACCTCGCTCCAGAGATGGGTGTGGAGATCAAATGAGGAAATGAAGCAGGAGTAGATGCCGAAGACGTAGAACCGACGCTTGAAGAGGGCCGATGAGAGACTCTGGGACGAGTTGCCGGAGCGGAAATCGGCGGGGAGAGGAGGGCAGAGGAGCCAAGAATCGGAATTGGGATTGTAAATCTCCACAGCCAAACGGTCCTCGATGTCGACCAAATTGCCGATGAAGCGGACGCCGCCGACGACGATGAAGCTTGGCGGAGACGACGAGCCAGAGTCGAAGACGCCGACAAGGGGGTTGATGCGGGAGAAGCGGAGAGGGGAGGTAGAGTGCAAATGGCGCTTGAGGATTGGGGAGAAGGTGAAGAATGGGGCGGTGATGAGGAAGAAGCCATCTACGCCGAGGAAGGAGGAGGACTGGGAAGGGAAGGTGGGGGAGGGGAGGCGGAACCAGCGATTGGAGACTGGGTCGAAGGCGAAGGACTGGTTGAAGTTGGAGGAGGTGTTGTGGATGCCGTAGAGGAAGAACCAGGGGTATTTCTGGGATTGGGTGGAGAGCTGGGAGAAGGTGGAGGAGGAGATGATGGAGTGCCAGAGCTTGCAGACGGTGGAGGCGCGGATGAGGGTTGGGATTGGGAGGTAGGAGAATATGAGCTCTGTGACGTCTGAGCTGAGGTTGCTCATGGCTGTCATTTTGGGATTTGGCTTTGTTGCAGAGAGGGTCAGAAAGAAGGAGAGAGAAGAAGAAGAAGGCAGGTGGTGGGGAGGAACCGACGAAATGGGTAAGGGAGAGAGATAAAAGATGGGAGTGGTTGGAGTTTGACTTTGACACAGTGTATGTGTGAAGTTGTGGGCCCTCCATCGTCGTCGACTACACCCGCGCTACTCACTCAACTATTATTTATTGGCTTAGCATCTCCAACCGATGTGTCAAAAGTGCCACATAGACGTTTAACAGCTAGAAATAACATCTCACATCACTCCAACCGATGTGTCAAAGCTGATATGGAATGAAGGCTAGAGATTGAGATGTTATTTTTGACATCCCAAAAGCAAGATGTCAAATGAATATTTTATTATTTTTTCTTTTCTCTTCTTTTTAATTAAAAATAAATCAACACTAAAATGCAATAAAATAATAATTTAATTTGACATATCAGTTGGAGTGTAAAGCTGTGTAAGATGTCAAATTGCCACATCAGCCATCAAATTTAAATTTGATGTTTGGTATTTGACATCTCCCTTGGAGATGCTCTTATTTATTCTTTCACCCCTTTAAACATAGCCTCAGTCACACTTTATCTTTTTAAATTGAAATTTTCTCACTTAACTCTTTAAATCTCGAAAAATTGCTAAAATTTTCTCACTTTATCACTTCCGACCATTTCCATCCACAAAACAATTAAGTGTGTTGACGTGGCATGGGCATTCTAGTAATTTTAGCTCCTTATTTTCTCTATTCTCTCTCCGTATGTCCCTCTGCCCCTCTTTTCTCTCCTATCCCAAACCCAACCTCCATCGCACCCCACCCTCACCCTCACCCTCACCCCCTCCTCCCTCTTCTATCTTCTCTTTTCTCTTTGCCTCTTTCTCCTCTATGCCTCTCTCTTCGCTCCCTAGACCCAACCCCCAGCGCACCT